AGGGGGTTACCACGGAGCGTATGTGGGTGAGGATGAGTTTCTCCATGGTCTTTATCAGGTGGAAGGTCAAGGGGACTGGTCTGTAGTGGTCTGGATCTCTGGATTGTGATGTCTGGAAAACTGGAACCACACAAGAGGTCTTCTACAGGATGGGGACCTGCTCCAACCGAAGGCTCAGGTTAAACATGTGCGTGACCACTTCACAAAGCTGGTCATCACAGCCTTTGAGCGGTCTGAGGCTGATCCCGTCGAATTCTGCTGTTTTCCTGCTCTTAAGCTGCCTCCGTAATCTCCTCATCTGGTCAGATGTAAGCGAGAGGGGGGAACGAGGGATATTATTATTATTATTATTATTATTGTTGTTGTTGTTGTTAGGGTTGCGCAGTGGCACCCCCAAGGGGTGGCCAGGGATGGCCATGGCCACTTCTAGAAAATTGCTGGCCAATTCAATGTGCATGCTCAGAGAAGACCAGTGTTCTTTAACTCATTCACTGCCAGCTGTTTCCTCATCCGAAAAGCTTGTCACTGCCAGCGTTTTTACTGTTTTTTTAAGAGTCACAGAACGTTGCATGCTAAGATGTTGTCAACACCAAAACTAACAAAACAAAGAGTAGACTCACCTCTTACATCAGTAAGAATCCGCATGTTTCGAGCGTTATCCGTTCTTTTATAATCCGTAGTCAAATTGTGATCAGCAGAAGCTTTTCCGGTTCTCGCCTCACTTTTTTTACAGCAGCGGCCCAAAACGATCTCCTAACACATGGATTTTTCGCTTCCTGAAAACGTGACGTGTGACGTATGCAGATGACGATTGGCTTCAGAGCTGGTATGTTTGTTCTCACGGTGCGGGGGCTTGTCCGACGCCCACACAGTAAAAAAATGCTAACGATCCTTTAGTCATCATTGGCAGTTAATGAGTTAATAAATCATATTTGTGCGTGTTTTTTTAATGAAAATTAATAAAGAAGAATTTGCATCATTACCGGCTAAACATTACCAGATTTACCACAAGGACCATTACGAAGTGTCACGCCAAACTTTTCTCTGGCCCCATGGCCACCCCTATGGAACTTTTGTGGGTCACCACTGGGGTTACGGAGATTCAATTTCATTAGTGTATGATGATGACTAATGGGATTATCAGACTTTCCCCATTTCCTGTTTTTTTTTTGACTGTTTGTTTCATTCTAAACACAAACAAACACACACCTGCCTGCCCTGAATGACATCTTCACCACTCACTGCCTAAGAAAACCCACAAACCCCCTGAGGACTCCGCCCACCCTGGTAACCATCTTTTCAAACCTCTTCTGTCTCGTAAACGATACAAGGCAACAAAAACTCACCACCAGGCTGTTAGGCAGCTTTTATGCAAGAGTCATCACTGAACTGAATGTTACTGCTCGGAGGTCACATTAGCAGTGATTCTGCTGGACAATCAGTGCACCACAGCCCCTTTACACTAACCCTGATACTGCAACATGTGACATTTATGCTTACTTTATATGTCAGTTTGTAGCCTAGACTTGTCTTATTACCATGTACTTCATGTATTTTTACATATTTTTGACCCTTAAACTGGCTGTGTGTGTGTGTGTGTGTGTGTGTGTGTGTGTGTGTGTGTGTGTGTGTGTGTGTGTGTGTGTGTGTGTGTGTGTGTGCGTCCGTGCGTGCGTCCGTGCGTGCGTGTGTGTGTGTGTGTGTGTGTGTGTGTGTGTGTGTGTGTGTGTGTGTGTGTGTGTGTGTGTGTGTGTGTGTGTGACATCAATTCTAGCCTTGTTATTTTACTTTACTACCTCTTTACGTGAGCTGTCATTAACCCTCTGGAGGCAGGCGTTGCAGATTTGCAACATTAAGACCTACCTACCTGGTTACTCCACATACGTAATTCATGAGCATTTTTAACTCTGAAGTACCCCTGAAGGACTAAGTTGTTCGTCATTTCATCAAAACTAATTTAGAGCCTGAGAGGATTAATGAGCATAAAGTCACTTTGGTTGTACACCTGTGCAATGATAATAAAATGATCTTGAATCTTGAAACAAAAAGTCTCTTTACAGTTAAGAAATAGCTGCATACTGCTTTTATCTTTATTTAAGTATTTATTCTGTCATTTTTTAATTTATTGGAATTTTGTTTTGACATTACAACATAACAATAAATGCTAATTTATTTATTTATTTAGTTGTTTATTTATTTATTCAACCAAAAATATTTCTGATCACCTGGGAAAAATTCAGAAGTGGGTCACTTTTAATGTATGCGGTTCATTACAGGTCAAAGAAATTAAAAGGCATCCGACACACGCTCTCAACACACACGCACCAAATACATTTTCATATCAAGTTCAGATGGATAAATCATTCATTACATATACAATATGTTCACGTACAGCAGCTACAAAATATTACATTTAAATCAAATCAAATTAGAAACAGACTCCTCTCTACTTGAAGGTCACAAATCAGCAGGTAAAACAGGAGTTTGACAGTGAAAGAAAGTACCAGCTCATGCACATCCAGACACTAAATGCTGCTTCACACGCGTACTACATTTTACACATTGAGACATTCTGAATCCAAAATAGAATTGGATAAAGACTTTAAGTGCAAAAGAGCTCCCCTTTGTAGAATATTTAACAGAACAGGAGAAATCTGCACAGTTTTAGTATTGCTTTAACCCTTTGATGCATGAATTATGAAATCTTCAACCATTACTTTTTAAACAATTTTTTCATTCATCTTTAGGTGTGAATGAAACAAATTTCACCAAATATTTTTTGTAACATTTTGTTAATTTACAAATAATTTATTGCATGTCCAGCTCAGTGGACAGTGTGCATTCTGAACATGAAATATGTTGGCTTGACTTGCTGAAGCCCAAATGGAGGGGGCTCACATGCAATAAAGTCTTCAACAGCTGTGCTTAATAGCAAAAATAAATAAATAACAATTTTGAGTAACTGTCCACTGTAGTGACCATTATGCATCAAAGGGTTAAGCAAAAAAAAAAAAGTTCTAAAGGGAAATGCAAGTGTTAAGGGCTTTAAGCTTTCACAATTTTCTGTGTATCCACAAGGGGGCAGCACTCATCTGACCTGGAAACAAGGCAACAATGCTGCAGCCACACTAAAAGGTCACTGTCTGAAACACTGATTAAAGAAACAAGGATTTGGACCTCGTCTGGTTGAACTAATGATCACAATGGCTATAATAAGTCATGAATTTTTCTTATGCATGCTTCCTAGAAAGAGTCCATCATGTTTTAATATCAAGCATCCTGATGCAAGAGCTGCTAAACCCCATTTAAACTGTTATTATTCATAAGATTTCTTCTTTGTTATTATTATTATTATTATTATTATTCATCTATTTCTTTCTCATTTGACCAGTTGGTCTGTTTTACCTGCTCATATTTTTAAAAGGAAATAAAATGAAGCTAATTCCATTGTTTTTAGAGCAAATCTCCACCGAGTGTGTCGACTCAGCAGAGTGTGCAGCAGTGATTGGGTTTCGACTGGACTTCCAGAGAGTGATGCATTTCCACAAATGAAATTCCATGTTGAGATTTTTTGCATTTTCATGGACAAAACATGCTTCATGGTTGCGGCTGTAAAAGTGTTTCAAGTTCTGGCTAATTGTTCTTGATATGACGCCATTTTTTTTTTTGTCTTTTAGAAAGGGTATTGCTGTAGAAGACTTAGTCTGATTGCATGGCAACATTTCTGTAACATATGTTGAAAATGATCAAGAAGACATCCTATCTTCACAGAACTGATCGTCGGTTTCCAGTAAAAATGATCAGACACAAAACCCACCGAGTGAAATAATGATGAGCTAAATTTTTATTACATAGAGTTTCAAATCTGATTGTAGTGACTCACAATCATTCCCATCTACAGAAATGTCCTCATGATGATTTTAAAACTTTGCATTTATTTGTTTAGCACCTTCATATTTCTCTGAAAAGACCCCACCCCTGCAAAACATATTTATACAAGAATGGTTTAACAGCTACCATGCTGGACCTTTAACCTGCTTACAAAACGAAGTTTGGAGTTTCTGTTTCCTGCTCAAGGGCACGTCAAAATGCTGTTAGGAGAAAACCACCAACCCGCACTGAAAACTACAGCAGACCAGCTTGGCCTCATGTTTTTGTTTTTTACTTTCATACATGCAAGATAAACAGTCATGGCTGTGAAATTAGTTTAGTAAATATATCACTGATTATTTTTCCTTAAAGTATTTTTGAATACCATAAAAAAGATAAATAGAAGTTATGGGAGCAGCAAGAGGAAGGGTGCATTCTTAAAGGTCCAGTGTGAACTATCAGATGCTTGACTCCAATTTGCGACATCCAGCTCTTCATGAGAAAATCAGGTGATTTTTTCCACATTAACTTATGAAATCACCATATTTCAAAATGGTTCGACTTCAATTCAAGTGCAATGTAAAAAGTTTATAGATAAGGTCAAATCTAAATATATTAAGTTAAACATAAAACAATTTCATTTTAATCTAAATACGTGAATTGTAAAATTAGATTATGGTTATTTTTCATTTTGTGCATTACTTGTATGTGTGTGTGCATAGTTACATGTATGCATGTGTATTTGTGTGTGCGTGTGTGTGTGTGTGTGAGCCAAAGTTTACTCATTGTTGGTCATTCACATGTGAGGTTCTGACATGAATGTGTGTATAGGTTTTATGGGTTTTACAAATGTGTAAATTGGTTGTGTTTTTAGAATTTAGAGATTTAAGTGCTGGCTGCTTCACAATGCTGTCTCGAATTGCCCCTCAGGGACTAATAAAGTTGTCTTGAATCTTGAATTTTTTCAATTGTATACATGTATTTTTTGTTTTCTTTTTTGCTTTAATTTGAAATATTTAGATGTAACTTCATATATTTAGATTTTATTATAAATATTCGCATTAAACTTTATTTTTATCATTCCCCCCCCCCCCCCCCCCCCACACACACACACACACACCTCCCCACCCAAGATTTAGAGATTGAATATGGAACAATTTAATAAAAAGCCATATTTCAAAAATACCTCCACAGGGCATTTAGATGTGTGCAGAATGAAGACACAATATTTCCTTTAAAAGCTATATTTTAATAAATTAATAATCAATAAGGATGTTCAGATCACGTTTTATTTTTATATATATTTTTGCTCCCGATCCAATTCAGAGTCGTTTGATTTTGAGTATTTCCCGATACCGAATCCCAATCCGATACTTTTCAGAAAAGCATTAAAATAATAAGAAGAAAATAAATACATTTTAGCAAAGTATTAAAATAAAAAATAAAATAAAGGGGCGGTCAAGCAAGCATTAAAATAAGAAGAAAACACATCCAAATTGTCCTTTAAGTTTCACTTTCATTTTTTTAGGAAGTCCACCGATTATTATATTGTGAGTATACATAAAGTAGCAGCATTGCTTTTATTTCAAGTTGTTTACTCCCTCAGTGTGCAGCGGTGAACCGTGTTCATGCGACGGAGCAGGCAGGGTAACTTTTCTCTGCATAACCTGCAGCTCCACCGCTCCGGGAGCGGGGTCCAGCCAGCCGCGGGGCGTATTGAGCACCGGTGCTGCAGGAGAACTAGAAACCCAGATGTTTTGCAGTCTGTTGGCAGTTTATCTTTGTTTATTAGCGTAACTTTCTCTGGCGGCTGGCTCCGCGTTTTTGTCTGACTCCACTGTGAACTGTGACTGTTAGAGATAAACTGGGGATTAAAGAAAATTTGCTTTGTTTTTGGAAAAGCCGACGGTTAAAGTAGCTTGTTTGAAGACAGCGAATCATGGAGCTGTGTCCAGTATGTTGACCACTCAGAATGCTCACAACTGTCTGTAGCTTGCCTGCCGTAAATTCTGTCGCGTTACTACGTTGTTTTCATACAAGAAATTATTGATGTAGAGGACCTTATTGAAATAAAAACTAAGCCATTTTTATTCCATTTGAAAATCTCTATTTCAGGATGAATTTTAAAAAGTAATGTTTGTCTTTAAAGGTTAAATCCGATTTATTTCTCCCGATTCCGATCCTTTCAAAAACACTTGATCTGGACCGATTCTCGATCCTGTGATCGGATCGTAGCATCCCTAATAATCACATTTTTATTTTAAGGAGCGCGAAACTGGGTTCACACTTCCATCTACCTGCCAGCCAATAGAGGGCAGACTCAGCAAGTCAAGCAGCTGCTTCTGAGCCCAGAAGATGTTGTTATCCTTCTCAGAAGAGGAGCTACCATTAAAAAAATCAGAAACCAGAGTGAGTTTAATTAAAGCTTACAGAAGATGGACACAAATAAAAATGTTCACATATCAGCAGTTAAACTGGTATCTCAACATCTAGAAAACTTGTGCTTTTGTTGCAACTACAACCTCCACACACTAGATGTCACTTTGGTGTTGTGTTCCTTATTCCACCTTTAAGTGAATAAACAGGCCAAGTGGTGTAGCTGTAGTAGTCTTTAACTGTAAACAAAACTTTAAACCAAAAGATTATAACAAAAACGATAACCGTAGCCATTTTACAAGAACAAAACGAGAGGATATCTTTATGATTTTATTCCAGCCAGTGCATGTATTGAGTTTTGAATCTTATTGATCTTATTTTTAAATATTTATTTATGAAATATATATATTGCTTTTTTCTCTTTTTTGTTTTTGCTTATTTGATTATTATGTATTGTTCTTTTATTTTGTTTTTTGCATGTTTGAAATAAACACTAACTAACTGGATGCATAAACAGTAAATTGGTCAGAACCATATTCTGAGCTAGCCACTTCCATCTCCCTCCATGTGGCACAACTTTAAGGGACTTCTATAAGTGCATGTACATTTTTGGTGCATGAATGTTGTCATGTCCATCAACTTCTATGTAAGTGAAGCTTCAACATGCACATACAATTTTATACAAATTTGCCTTGTGTCTGTTTATTTTATTTATTTATTTATTTATTTTGCAACTAGTTTAGTAGAACTAGAAGAATGTGGAGTTTCCTGGAGGTTCTATGAATAAATATTTATTCTAACAAAACAAAAAATGACTAGTTTACATTTAACACCAATAAACCATAATTTTATAAATCCATAATTTATATAAATATTTGTATTGCATTTTGTCAAAACGTCGCCATAAATGTTACACACTGGAACTTTAAAGAGCCGCTGTGGCTACATAACAAAAAAAAGGTTTTACTAAATATTGCACATATGAAAATGATACTTTACAAGTGCAGCTACATGGAAATTTAGCTTTGCAAGCGTTTTATTTATTATTTTGGGTGATTTGACAAACGAGCCATTTCATGGAAAGGAAAGTCTAGTTTTTGCAGCATGTAGGATTTTCTTATTATTTTTTAAGTCTGGACAAAAGGGGTTTTAAGCTTACTCGTGATCATTCAAGACCTTCTTTTGAACCCACAGTGAAATGGGTGGATGCGTAATGATTTGCAGCAGTTAGAGGTACAACAGTGTCTCTACTTAGGACAGTCTAAGTGATTTGAGCATTTGCAGTCACAGTTGGACATTCATTTTCTGGCTCGTTTGGTACTTTTCGACACTATGCTCTCCAGCTGATTCTTAACAGCTGCCAAGCTTCACTTCATGCAATCAAGATGGTAAACTGCATCTGAAAGGTGGCGGAGCAGGGTCAAGCAGCTCTGACAGACCTTTGGAGCTGGATCAGTCTCCTGGTGCCTGCTTCTTGACTCATTCCACTTTAAGGTAACCATTAGCATTACTCTCCATCCCTCTGCTCTGCTCTCTATGTCTACCACCTCCTAGAGTTCCTGCAGCACCTCCAGGATTGGATCGGCCACTTGACCAGCCATCCTCAGGCCCCTCGTGGAAGCGCAGCCGCAGGGTTTTGCGGATGACAAAGCGCTCTACAATAAAGGAGGCGCAGAACCACGGCAAGGCATACTCAGCTGTGATCAACCCCATGAAGTTGTAGCGAAACTCGGAGTAGTCCCAGGGGCAGGCGTCAAACTGACGGAGCAGCAGCCCCGTACCAAACTCCCACAGGTACGTCCATAACGTGTAGATGATGCAGCGCAGCAGCACAGGGCAGCAGCCACGCAACCTCAGGTACATCTGCTCAACGATAAGGATGCAGGTGCCATAGATGAAGAGTGCCCACACACTGGTCACGCCGGGGAACTTCCAGTTGCAATTAACCACAAACTCCCAGGCAGCAGTGAACATTACTTCACAGAAGTAGCCGTGAATGGCATAGAGGTACCAACGTGACAGCGATGTAAGAGGAACAGGAGCCCCTGAGGTTTCTAAGGTCACCATCTTTCCTTCCCTGGATTTCACACTGAGTTTATGTTCACAGTGACAAGATGCAGTTCTGCAAAGAGAACAGAAAAAATGCATCACGTATGATTAGTTATTTCCAGTTAAGTCAGTCATATCACACCACAGGAAGTCACGTTACCCTTTCTGAGTCCAAATTCAGAGGATGCTTCCTTGAAAGGACCTGGCCTACTTGAATGATGTAGGTGACCATGAAATAGGAAAGTATAAACTTTGAGATTTCAATTAATTAATCAATTAAGTCCTGTTGCCTAGCAACTGCAATGAAATGAGAAGGACAAAGCCTAACAACACAAACTCTTTAAGCTTTTTAATTTGTACTTGATCTGAATATATAACATCAAAAACTATCTCCTCCTCCATTGTTGTTATATATATATATATATATATATATATATGTGTGTGTGTGTGTATGTGTGTGTGTGTGTGTGTGTGTGTGTGTGTGTGTGTGTGTGTGTGTGTGTGTGTGTGTGTGTATAAAATCCCCTTTCTGCCTGCAATAAATCTTGGGATAGGCTGGGTCACAAAAGCTCTCTTTGAAACATGAAGAAGAAGGATGCATTTGTAGGCCACATTTGGAGGAACCTTTGGATTTGGACAGCCTTTGTTGCATTGGTGCGATGTAATCACCCTTCAAATGCAGCCTTGGAAGGATGGAGAACCAGAATTTAGAGACTCGGGGTGTTGTAGTATCCCAGCAGACATTGGGAGTTAACACGAAAGCCGTATTTTCACTATTGACCCTTTGCATATGACGTCACACCACTCATGGCTCCACCCCCTTTGCCATGATGGTTGGCAAAAACATTGTTTAAACATGTTGAAACTCCAGTGAAGCTAGTCAAAATAAGCCAGTTTGTAGCCTTTAATCACTTTTATTTCGTTTATTTTACATTAAATTGTAGTAGCTTGATGTTGGCTGCACTAACAGACAAGGCTGTAAAGACTATTCCTTTATTTATTCATTTTGTTTGTTTTTGTTTCAGATAACTTTGATGGAGACTGAGGACGGAGATGAACTGCAACGATCAGTCAAACGGACTAGCCCTCAAAGTATCTTCGGATTTGCAGCAAACATGTTTTTACCAGGAAAGATGAACCTGCCGAAAAGAAAAGCTGTTTTTTTTCCTTGTTTGCTAATGTTTCAGCTACTTCCTGTAGCCATCTTCAGAGCTGTGATGATGTTGGTGGCGTCACTTCCTTCTACGTTTATCTGTGGGCATGCAGAGGATGTTGTCGCCCTCTGCTGCCTGCGCCCTCCTCGTCGATGACACAGTCCCCTGCGTGATCTTAAGTGTAGACTCCATCGTCTCTATTCATGAATCCGTGTCCACGTCTCCTTATTTCTATGGCTTCTACAGCCTCTGCTGCCCGCAGATAAATGGAAGTGGATAGGACGCCTGTAATACCAATGCCCTATACACCAGCACTACTGGTTACTGAGGCGGTTGGTAGTCTTTACGTGTGTTTAAAAGAATCGCAGCTTGTGTTTATTTCTGATGATGTTTATTAATTTGTCTTCTTTCACAAAGTTTATGATCCTTTCACAGCAGTTAAAGTGGTTTTCAGTGAATGCGTTACTTGCCCCAATGACAGTCCGCAGAGTCCGTTACACACAGCCACAGTCCTCGCCACACAGTCAAAAACTGTTTGTCCCATCACAGCAACCCCTGAGTCTAATCTGTGTTGGCTTAAGTAGGCTGGTGCTTCCATAACCAATTGACTAATCAAATGAGGCCAAGCCTCCTCTCAAGAATGCAGAAAGAAAACGAAAACAACACATATGGCTCCTACAACGCCACCAACATCGTCACTGCTCTGAAGATGGCTACAGGAAGTAGCTGAAACTTTAGGAAACAAGGTAAAAAAAAAAACTTTTCTATGATTAAAAAGAACCAAGAAGCGCTCGTTGAGAAGATACACAAAATGAACGCACAGAAGATGGGTAAGATTAAAGTTCATATAATCCATGAGGAAGACAGGGTCAGGGATAAATGTGATATGTTTACTACTTATTGATAATCCTAAAGGATGGGTGGATATTTGATCATGAGGACGTGGTCCAACGTATGATTCTGCGTGTTAAAATTATGTTATTTATTTAGAACGAGCATCGGTGTTCAGAGATGACTTGTCTCATCCCGGTGTGTGAGTAGCATCTTAACCCGGTGACACCACCAGCAACAAAAACCGGTAGGAATCCTGACTTTTTTTAAAAATCAGCTTCGGTGCAAAGTGAACTGCTGTTTTTGACGTAATGTTAGAAATCCAGCGGGGTGGATTTTGGCTAAATTGGCAACTTGTTTATGTTTATTTATTTGCCAGATGCTTTTATCCAATGTGACGTACAATTGTGAATCTATAGGGCGTGTTGTGATCTGTGGGGTAACCGCAGTACCCGGAGGAAACCCACGCGTGCACGGGGAGAACATGCAACAGAAAGGCCACAGCCAAGTTTCAAACCTGCAACCTTCTTGCTGTGAGGCAACAGTGCTAACAACTGCGCCACCATGCAGCCAATTTATGCGGCCTGTTCACATCGGTGAAAAGCCTCAAAGAGAACTTAAGCTAATGTTCATAAGCTAGTTAACAGACTGCTCTCCATGAGTCCTGAATAGGTGCCCTACCTCTAATGATAACTGAACTGGGCTTAAACTAGCTGAAAGAATGCTAAAGATTGTAACAAACTATTTCAGGCTCTACTTTTGCCTTGGTGTAATACTTGTGTCATTCACTGTGTACATGCTTTTGCCACCTAATATGGTAGACCCATGTGATTAGGTGACGTAGGCGCAAAGGGTCATCAGGAGTTTCAGGAAATTTCTGGTAGGGGGATAATTGACTAGGAGCTCCCTGTTGCATTTGTACCCAAGAAACTATGTTTAACCCTCCCACAGTCTTCATGGGTGACCCCGCGAGGAAAGTTGACCATTATGCAGGATTGATGGTTTATCCCTTGAGGTCCACGTGGCAGGGGTGAGGTAGTGCTCACGCCTGCCACGTGGACCTCAAGGGATAAACCATCAATCCTGCATAATGGTCAACTTTCCTCGCAGAGTCACCCATGAAGACTGTGGGAGGGTTAACAGTGGTTTGAATTTTGTAAACAAAAGCAGTACATTACAATGCTGTTAGCCAATCAGAGGCAAGACACTGGCATGACATGAATTGTCCCTGGACTTATTAAGGCTATAACTAAATCAGCGTTTGTTTGTTTGTTTGTTTGTTTGTTTGTTTGTTTGTTTGTTAAGATCTCCATTAGCTGCCGACATACAGCCGCTATTCTTCCTGGGGTCTCATCTCATACAGTCATTACATTATACATATATATATATATATATATATATATATATATATATATATATATATATATATACACTGTAAAAAATGACTGTGAATTACACAGTAATTTACCGTGTTTCTGTAAAGTAACTCACTGTGAATGTATTTAAAGTAAAATACTGTATAGTTGACAGTAACTGTTGCAGTACTGTATAAATCACAGTAATAAATGCAATACTGTAAAACTTCACAGCAGACTAAGTTCTACTGTAGTAAGTCACAGTAATATAATCACTACTGTAAGAAACCAAGCAAAAATTTACAGTAGTATGAAAATACTGCATAAATTATGGTAATACATGCAATACTTTAAAAATTCACAGCATACCAAGTCCTACTGCATTAAGTCACAGTAATATCATCACAACTGTAAAAAACAAAATAAGACTTTACAGTAATGGGAAATTATTGTATAAATCACTGTAATAAATACAATACTGTATAAATTCACAGCAGATCAAGGTCTACTGTAGTAAGTCACAGTAGCATATTCACTACTGTCAAAAACAGAGAAAGAAATTACAGTAGTGTGAAATTACTGCATAAATTATGGTAATACATGCAATACTTTAAAAATTCACAGCATACCAAGTTCTACTGCATTAAGTCACAGTAATATCATCACTACTGTAAAAAACAAAAGATTTTACAGTGATGTGAAATAATTGTATAAATCATTGTAATAAATACAATACTGTATAAATTCACAGCAGATCAAGTTCTACTGTAGTAAGTCACTGTAATATCATCACTACTGTAAAAAACAGAGAATTAAATTACAGTGGTGTGAAATAATTGCATAAGTTATAGTAATGAATGCAATACTGTATAATTCACAGCAGACCAAGTTCTACTGTTGTAATTCACAGTAATATAATTACTACTGTACAAAACAAAATTTTACAGTGGTGAGAAATTTCACAATGACTTATTGTGTACTGGATAAAAACATACTGCAGAAATTCACAATAATAATTTAAATTCACAGTAACATGTGTACCATAGGGAATTGCAGTACCTATTACAGTACTGTAGAAATTCACAATAATATATTGGAATTTAAAGCAACATATTATTTATTGTTGTAACAACATGTAAATACTTTAAAAGCTCACAGTAACCATTACAGTATACTGTTGAAATTCAGTTACATATTGTGTACTATAGAAACCTCAACCAGCTGTAAAATGTCACAGTAACTCATCACGTACTGTGTAAAACTACAACCAAAGGTAATTTCAGAGTGATATCGTGTACTTTGGGAAACCACATCAAGCAACATGATACTGTAAAAATTCACAGTAATTGTTTTAATTGTACAATGTATTTTTAAGTAATTATAGCAACCAGTACATTACTGTAAAGATTTGCAGTAACATCATATATAACCATTGGGTATAGCCTCTCCCTGGGCTGCTACCTTACCGTGGTGGAGGGGTTTGAGTGTCCCAATGATCCTAGGAGCTAAGTTGTCTGAGGCTTTATGCCTCTGGTAGGGTCACCCATGGCAAACAGGTTCTAGGTGAGGGATATAAGAGCAGCCTGAAGACCTCTTATGATGAATAAATTCAATGGAAACTGTGTACCCTTGCTCGGACGTGGGTCACCGGGGCCCCCCTCTGGAGCCAGGCCTAGAGGTGGGATACGTTGGCGAGCCCGGCCGGTCACAGCCCGAAGAAGAAACTTGGGTCC